TAAAAACGCACTTCAAAGATTGCAGTGTTTGAAGATGTAGATTCTCAGAAGGCAACAGTACTGTTGACTTCTCCCTCCACTGGACACCAACTAACTATTTAAGTTGATTTGCATACAAAGCAGAGCTTGCAACATGATAGCTATTCATAAAGGGTGTTTTTTTTTTACTTTCATATAATACAGTAGTCACACAATGAGGCAGTTCATATTTGTCTCAGTAAAACATTAATTTTTGACAGACACCTGTACAAAATACTTGGACAAAAGCCAGCTAAGATTTTCTGTTATCTTGCATGTTTTGTGAATCTATTCACGTCTAAATGCAGCACTTTTTTTTTGCGATGAGGCATTTGTTTTTATACTAAAATATCTGAATTACTTTGAATAAATCTGGAAATTATGTCCCTTAAAATAATTAAACAAATAAGGCACCAATGTTTTTGTAAAATATTTACATCTTTAAATGACATTCGGTAGACTGATTCCCCACTGTTGGTTGGTTAATTATGACAATGCATATTTATATTGAAACAAACTATGATAAAGGGAATTATATTATATAACAAAGGGCAAGGTCACCAGAGTTCAACTGTTTAAAATTTGTACATATTAATTATGTGGTTTGCATATATTAATAATTAGTCATTTTCCACCTTTCCCATAAATATCTCAAGTACTAATCATTTTATTTCAATTAATCTTGATACATAAATACAACCTAATTAGTTTTTGGTTTAAATACATAATAATTACCTAATTTGCATAATAAATAACAAATTTTCTACCTAAATCTCAAAAACCAACTACATGTATTAAATTTCAATGAAACTTGATATAAGAGCCTGGGGACAATGCTAAAGATCTGATTAGTTTTAGATTGAAATTTGAGTACATACTAAATGTCTAATTTGCATAATATGCATAATCATCACATTTTATTGAAATTTGGTTCCTAGATGCTTAGGGGTAATCCACAGATGTGATTATCTAAATATTATTAGCCAGTTTAGATATCTCAAAAAATCAGGTGATCTGGAATAAATCAGACTGCAAACCACAGATGTACAACAATTTATTTTGAGTAAGTATATAAAATTTGATAATGTGGATCACATTTATTATGTTGTGCATAGCAACAAGAAAAATAGCAAGCTTCTTTTGTTGCTTCATGAAAGGCTAATCTTAAATTTTGAATTAATTTTTAATATGCCTCCAATAGTGTTTCAGCGCATGGGAATGCTTTCTAAGCTTTCTTTGATCTAAAGAATGATGCTTCCAAACATTTTAGTTCTATTGCAGGCTTTATTAAGTGTATATGAATGTAGATATATAAATTATTTCATTTTTAGCTCCGTTGTCGACTTTGTCGAGCGGAGCTTATCATATAAGTGATTGTCCGTCGTTCGTGTCAATGTTTTACTTTTTCGACTTCTTCTTGAAAACTACAAGCCTGAATGCTTTGATACTTGGTGTATATGTACCTTGGGTAGACCTCTCTCAGATTTGTTCATTTCATGATCATATCTTCAATTCTCTAATTTTGATGATTATTTTTGTCATTTTTGGTAAAAAGTGATATTTTCGACTTCTTGTTAAAAACCGCAAGTCCAATTGCTTTGATATTACATATATAGGTACTACATGTGGACTTCTCTCAGATTTGTTTATTTTGTAATGATATCTTTAATTCTCTAATTTTGGTGAATATTTTTGTAATTTTTGGTAAAATGTGATATTTTCGACTTCTTGTTAAAAACTGCAAGTCCAATTGCTTTGATATTACATATATAGGTACTACAGGTAGACCTCTCTCAGATTTGTTCATTTTGTAATGATATCTTTAATTCTCTAATTTTGCTGAATATTTTTGTCATTTTTGGTAAAAAGTGATATTTTTGACTTCTTGTTGAAAAGTGCAAGTCTGATTGCTTTGATATTATACATATTGTTTATTTTCTAATGATATCTTCTGTTCTACAATTGAAATGTGCATTGCTAACAGTAGAGAATTCTCAGCCGACAGGTTGCTTGTATGAAAAACTAAGACAAACAGTTTTACATGACTTGATGATAGGTCATATCACTATGTTTCTTTCTAGGAGCAAACAGACTGTGAACTGGAAGCAATGCAGGCCTCATTGAAGCAAAGAATAAATGAGGGTGGTTTCGCTAAATTAGTTGACAGTGATGGAGAAAATGAAGAAGACAGAAATGATGTTAATAAAGATCTCTTACCAGAACATAAAGAAAATCTTGAAAAGGTAATTTCTTTCATTACTTAATTCATCCCCTACTTACTCCCATAACGCACTTTGATACTCCCATTACTCAAACAACAACCACCCACCTACCCACCCACTCACTCACATCACCTCCATTACCCTCTTACTCCCATTACCCACCCTCTCACTCCCACCAACTTATTTTCATTACCCACTCTCATCTTGAGATCCCACTCACTCCTGTCTCCCATTCACTCCTATTACCAACTTCCATCACTCACTCGCTTCCATTATCTACTTACTCTCATTACTTCTGTTATCCACTCACTCCCGTTAACCACTCAT